TTTTRKWTTATTAAAAATTAAATTTTTGTGAATGGCATTTAACAGAGATACAGTCACAATTCCCTTAAAGTAAAAAGTAAAAAACACTTTCATTTCAAAAATCATTTCTGAATCAGTTGTTATCCAACAGAGTATCATATATGTTAACTCTATGTACAACAAATTTTTTAGACTGCGATAACACAATTTGATATCAGAGATAAAAGGTATTTTAATTTATATCCTAACATTGTATGCTTGATAAGCCATCAATGTTATTTGTTATTTTCAAAATTAGTATCAATTGTTACTTGTCATTTTGTTTTTATGGACTGGGCTAAAGATTTTGTGTCATGTCAATTGCAGAGAATATTTCTTCCCTATTGCCACCACAAAGAGTATTTCTTAGAATGATTGTAATTGAAGCAAACACATGAATCAATTGAACTGTAAGCAATTTTTTTAATGGGTATTTTACTAGAGTATGTGTTAGTGTAAAAGTGTCATCCTTACTAAACTTAATAATAATAGAATATTCATGAGTATTATAAGTCTAATTGTCCAATGAATGAGACATACTTCACTTATTAACTGCTTTAAGACATACAATTGATGGAATTTAAATAAAATGATTTGCACAAATTCAACAATATTTGCCAACATCTGTCTCACCCAATTCCCAAAATGAAACTTTATAAAGATAAAAAATGTGTAAAAAGACATCCAACTGTTAGCTTGGCATATATCTATGAAAAAGACTGAAAGTTTGACTTGGATTCACCCAAGATCTCATACTATTTGCCACAATGTCAACACTTTCAAATCCATTCTTCAGTCCATGTTTTGCTAATCTTGCGGCTAATTTTGTCAATGGAGTGGTGTCTGTGTGCATAAGGAGAGTTGAAAGTTCCATCCACTGACATTGTGCAATCTCATCTTCACAATGACTAATGCCGAAGCTCAATGGTTCCATTCTACACACAACATAGATATCAGACTTGTCAAAAGCATTCTTCATTTCATGTTGTTGTCTAAACAACAGAATGGATTTGAATTCTGCAATCAAAAGAAAAATCTTCAGAAAATCCTCACAAAATCAAAATTCCACTTTGCACACATGGAACAGAAGGAGAGGAGGTGCCCTAGTGATTGGCATGCTGCATGGTTGTGGCTGAGAAATTACCCTGCTGGCTTGAAATTTCAAGTGAGGTGGCTCAATGGTAGTGAAAAATTGTAAGTGCGTAACCTAGGAAGTGTGGAGGCGCGATGGCCTCATGGTTAGTGCACTCGACTCCGGATCGAGTGGTCCGGGTTCGAGCCCCAGCCGGGACATTGTGTTGTGTTCTTAGGCAAGACACTGTACTCTCACAGTGCCTCTCTTCACCCAGGTGTATAAATGGGTACTGGCAATTTAATGCTGGGGGTAACCATGCGATGGACTAGCATCCCATCCAGGGGAGAGTAGAAATACTCCTAGTCACTTCATGCTACAGAAACCGGAGTAAAGCACTGGCCTAATGGGCCACTAGGCTCGTAAACAGACTTTGCTACTTTTACTTTTACTAACCTAGGAAGTGTCCATTGTGTTTTACCAAGTGACTGCCACCCAAAAATCCAACTGGCAATTGCAACTTTTTCATCTGACAACCCTGATGCTGGACTCCATATAAAGAGTTCCTTTTTTTGTTGGCTTAATAGTCTTGGTTTGTTGGATCGGACACCTTACTCTTAATATTCCTCCCTTCAGGCAGCAGGGGTTTCAGAAACTTTTTCCATAAGTGGCAACCAATGGTGTTAAAAGCAGTTGTATCCACAAAAGGGGCCATGGGGTTAAACTCAAACACAGGGGCCCGTTTATAACCAACTTTTATTAAAACCTGTGCTACACCCAAGTAAAATTGGGTTCCAGAAAACTAGGATACCGTGAAAACAATAAATTGCTAGTTGGTAACCAATGATGGACCAATATCCTGTTCAGAAAGAATAGCAATTCGGCCAAGATCTCCTTATTTTGTTCTCCTTACCGTCTGCCATACAATTCTTATGATGTTAGTTCAGAGAATTTGGTATTGGATCAACTGATAACCCTCTAGTTGATATTTTTCTTTATTCTCATCACTTGTCTGCTTGATATTGTATTGATATTGTAAGGAGAAATTCTGTCTTGATCACTCACAGAGAAGTTAAAGGGTTAAACAAACTGATAAAACCTCTTGAAGAAATAAGTAACTAGCTACGTAGGACTTTACCCTAGCTTCTTATTAATACAAGGTGTGCCCTGTGTATTACCTGCTCTGATTCCAGTCTCTTCCCAGACTTCACGAACTGCTGTTTCTTCTAATAAGGCAGAAAAAAGGTCAGAAAGCAATCACATACAGACATCATTGTTAAGCCCAAAAAGATATGAAAAATAGGGTAAATAAATAAGAATTATTTTAATCTTACATTGGCTACTTGCTCTCAATGTGGGAATAGTTTACAAGTAATCAGCAACTTTCTAGTGTCCATGGATTAAAACCCATAACATAATCTAATATCATTAATTAAAGTAACTGCAATTGGGCAAACTGGGATGAACCCTGTTCCTTTGGTATCATACCCAAACCATTGACACTGTTTTATAAATTAACCACTATTTTGCCGTTAAAATTTAACCTCAGCCCTATGTAACACCTCAGAAAATTACTTTGATCCTTGTTTAAAAGGGTACTAATATATCTTATTAACCAAGCGCGAGGGCCGTACTGGAAGAATATCAGCCCGAGGTCTTGAGAGTACGGACCTCGCTGCGTTCAGTCTGTACAAATAGACCGAGGGCCGATATTCTTCCAGTAAGGTCCAGAGCAAGCTTGGTTAATAAGAGAATTATTATACGACTAAAGTTCAAAGGGACACAAGTGTGGTATCATTTGGGACCATTCGGGACAGTGCCCGGTCCAATACTGGGAGAATATTGACCGGCAATAGAGCATTTTGATTGGTTGATTTTTAGTTATTGGCCCTCTGAATGCCCGAGTCGTGTTATAAAATAGATTACACCCACCGATACTTTCTCCTTCATCTGAGAGCCCTCCTGGAAATTTCCAAACTGGTCTTTTTAGGTGCCGGCCAATCTTCAGCTGCAAAAAAGTATAGCACCAATGTTACCAACACTTACATCACAATTTTAACTACCATGATTGATTTAACGGTTGCTATTTCACAGCTACACATTCCATAACCTTTCAATTGCAATCTTAAAATGGTTCTCTTTATCACTATGACAGAGCTTACAATTTTCATGAGAGACAAATAACAAAAATTATTTCCAGAGGGGGCCCACTTGCAGGGGTAGTTCTGAGTAGGGTCCTTTATTTTGTACTGCGTACCATGTTCTTGTCCTGAACAACCAATACTTCATTTTTTTCACTATTAAGAACAAGACCTGTATTGTTTTAAATTAACAAAATTGGGTAAGCAAATGTTGAGATCATTACAAAAAAGTACAAACAAATTTTTTCTCTCAAGGGAACCTTTTTGGAAGTGACAATTTTTGTTAAAAAGATATATTAAAATAATAAAAAAATATATCAAGGAAAAATGTTTTAACTTAAAATAATTAACAATTACTTCACTTGGTCAAGACAATTGGCCATAATTCCAGAATATATCAATAACAAATCAAAGTATCAGACATCTCAAATCATTAGCTGTGGTTACACTAGACCTTTTGCCCACGGGAAAGTGAGACCTTACCCACAGGAAGTCTGTGTTTTGTGTGCGACCTCTATTCCCACAGTGAAACTGCCGTGGGGAATCGCTATGGATACATAAAAAAGAACAAAAGAATTACCCATGACGTTTCCCAAACCAAGTTGTAGGGTTTAGCAGTGGTTTATCTAACCACAAGAGTAGTTCAACCAGTCGGATGGAAGAAAATAGTAAATCCAGAAACCGCAGCACATACTGGGCATTTTTGTGGTGTTGCACTGAAATCGCGGCAAATATCCTTGCAAGTATCAAATTCAAGACACGCAGCATCAAACATGGCCAACTTTCAAGGTTCACATTAAGTATATTTTACTTGTCTTCGCTCTGAATACTCCAATAAAAACCATAAGTTTCGTGGTTTGCGATCTCCCTGGTGAATTAATTTCCCGCCAAACACTGCTAGGTCAAAATTTGACCTCGGGTAATTATTTGCGATGTAACCAGAGGATTAAACCTGACCAGAAACCCAAACCCATCCCAACCCACGGTTATTACCCACAGGGTTACCTCTGGAAGGAGGTGAGTGTAACCACAGCTAATAACTGAGATCCATTTAAAACAACAGCTGTACGGCAAAGTCCTGAAGGGTATGAAAAACATGAAAATCTGGCACAAATTTTACAAGTTCACTATTAACAATTCATCTCTGTCCTTGCTAATTACCTGAAACTCCAACTTGGTGTGTAGCATAAGGTGGAACTTTATTGTGCTCCCTCTTAGGAAGCCATTTTAACAGCATGGCATGGTCTCCAACTGCATGGTGGTACCTGAAGCCATGTTCAAATGCCACTGGTATTAAGTAACTCTGAATGATGGGAACTTTCATCCACACAGACTTCTTCCTCTCTTTTCTCCACTGCTGGATACTTTCTGAGAAAACGGTAGAAATATCAGACTTAACGACGACGTTCTCCTTCTAAAAAGTAAAGCTTAGTTTTGAATTGGCAAGGCCAACCGGCATAATTTTACTCAAATTGTGCAAAAAAAGATTAAGCCAGCAATTTCCAAAACATGGGTTAACACGGGTCACAATTCCCTCAGATTTCAACATTTCAAAATTGCTGAATCAAAAAACTAAGAGTGAAAAAGAATTACGGTCTTTTCATCTGAAGTTGTTTCATTTAAGTCTGTTCGACTAATTGTCAAGTCTTTTCTCAAAGCAAATAAATAACTTTTAGAAGTTAGCAATAATAGCAAGTATGATAGATATTGTAAGAAATAATTATACAACTTTTTTGAAAGACATGTTTCGGCACGCATATGCCATCGTCAGTCAATGAGTAACTGAGTGTGAACAATTATGTAGTATACAAGTCTAGATGAATAAATTATTTACAGCATGATGTAATAAAAAAGCGGGTACTAATTATAACGTGACACCAAAACATCAAAGGTGTAAACTAGAACCCTAGAAAAGTGTTATATTGCTGTAACTGTTTGTTAAGTTTAGGTTTCATCTTATTCACAGCAAAAGCTTCTTTGAGTTTTAAATCAATTGAGTTGTTAGCAGAATCCAGAATTATAAAACAAGAAGGGGAGTATTTGTTCTTACAAGAAGATGTGTTGAAATGCTTAAAAATATGCGAGTTTTTATCACTTTCCATGCAATTACAACATTATAACACTTTTCTAGCGTTCTAGTTTACACCTTTGATGTTTTGGTGTCACATTGTAATTAGTACCCACTTTTGTATTACATCACATACTGCAAATAATTTATTCATCTACTTGTATACTATATAATTGTTCACACTCAGTTACTCATTGACTGAAGATGACATATGCATGCCGAAACATGTCTTTCAAAAAAGTTGTATATTTCTTACAACTTTTAGAAGGTTAGATAAGGTTACATAAAGAACTTGTTAGTGCGAGCCGTTGCCATTTTAGTTCCGATAGCTTTAGTCACCAATCCTCGTTTACGAATTCAACGTCATGAATTACGATGGATACACAGAGAAGATGCTTACTTGGGGTTCTTTTTGGCTGAGTTTTATTACTTTATCATGTTGGACTATGTTGTTGGTTGTGTCGGACATTTAGTGATGTTACACTTAGTTGTCTATTACGCCTAACAGACGCTTCATAACAAGCCTAATATTCCCATTTCTTTTGCGCGAAATAATTAAACGGCAAGTCTTTATTTTTGTCACTAGCTAATAAAATATATTGCGCTAAAATTAACTTCATATTTTAAAACAATGTTGTAACTTTGACGAAAAGACTTGATATTGGACGAATGGACCTAAGACTTTAGACGAAAAGACTTGGACGAAAAGACTCGTGGACGAAAAGACCGGATTACCGTGAAAACCAACCACTCACCCTTTAACTTCACAGAAAAGTCTCCAGGGCTACACTGCTCTCCTAGTTGGTCCAAATCCACGGTCACGCCATTAAAATAGGCCTCGTTCCATTGCAATCGAGATTCTTCCGCGGAGCTGTGGTTATTCCTACATAAGTATAGTCCTCCTATCCCTTTGCTGACAGATCTCCTCAGCAAATGTAACATGAAGGCAACGTCTCCCAACAGTGATATCTTCTGTAATTGCACAACACCTTATCGGCTGTCCGCCATCTTGAAAACTGCTGACCAGTTTTCTCCCTCTTAGTTTTCATGCCATGTAAGCATAAGCTTTATATCTTTCACTCCCAGACACATTAGTTATGACTCTATATAGGAACATCGGCGATAAACAACAGTGGAGGGGGGATAGAGGAGAAGACAGACGTTGTTCGAGAGAAGTTATTAGGTGTGGGAGTGTGGGTTTAGAATGTATTTAAAAAGTTTCTTAAGTAACGGTGCTATCGACAAAACACGGAAAGCCAAGGTTTTTTTTGAAGATAGTTTTAATTCATTATTGAATAGTTCTCAACAACAGCAAATGAATATATACAGGATCTTCTTTGGTCCTCCTTGATACATTGCCAGTCCTCGACAGTGAGTCCGTTATACACTCAAAACAAGGTGAAACTTCCGACAAAAAATTGCTCATTTCTTTGTAAATATGAGAAATGAGCCATTGGGAATCAAAATCGACAAATGATATGTTTTGAAATGCTTATATTAAAATAACAATTAAAAAAAAAAAGAACACAAAAAACGCCGAAATTAATTTACAATCGAGTGTTCACAAGTTTAGGCAAATGGCTCTTTCGATCAAAACTTTCACGCTTTACAACGTTGTTATTTAACATATAATCATCTTTTCATAATTCATAAATTCTTAACGTTTAATTTTAATTTCAATCTCTTTTAGCAAGTTACACCACGTTAATCAAGTGTATACGACGCTATCCCAATCCAATTGACTCGAAAAATTTAATTTAGCAATTTAATCGCCAATCGAAATAGATCAACGAAACTATCTACACATCTTATGCAGTGTTCTCTCATTGGATTGACTCTTCCAACTTCAGTGTGACTGGGCGATGTTTGAGAAAAATGACAGGATATCCTCGATGGTAACTTCTAGATTGATCTTAGATTCAGGGTAACACCGCTGAATAAGATCCTCAAAATGCTTGTATTGTTGGATGAATTCATCTTGCATGGAGTGCCACACAACCTGAAATGACAAGAGTGAAACATCAATCCTCAGCAATGCTTACTTGACATTTCCATCGAAGGTTTGTGGAAAGAATTTGTCTTTGTATCGGCCTTCATTTGATATTCATTCTCTTTTCACTTTAGCTTTACAGTGTTAAGCTACTTTTGGGAGATAGTTACTCATTCCAAGGGTCCTTAGGTAAAAACATAGACAGTTGTACACAAACAAAAAAAAAACAAAACAAAAAAACGCACCCTCCCACATTGGTTCGAGGTCTGGATCCGTCTGTTTGTAAAAGGAATCGAAATCGCTCGCTCGCACAAAAGAGCAAGATCCTCTTTAGTGTCAGCATACACTTGCAATTTGACCGTTTACAATGAAGCCTTACATACTCCAAATCAATTTTCTTTAAGTAGCTCTATAGAGGCAAGGCCTATATCAATTCACCTGAAGCAAGTTTTCTTCCTCACACAAATGTTTCTCGACTTTTTTGTACAAGTGTTCCAGTCCTCTTTTTATGTCCTTGGCTGGGTACTCCTTGATGTTTTTCCTTAATTCTTGTTTGCTGAATGCAAGCTGGTATCCGACTTCGTCTTCCTTCACCCCAGCAGCAATACATTCTTGTACACCCTCAAAAAAGATCTGTAACAAAATAATGAGAACTAAAAGTTTTTCCTTTTTTTTTTTTTGTAGTAAACAATCCCTCGGGCGGCTGAAGCGGAGCAATGTTCAATCGAGTATCCAAAGTAATGCAAGATAGTGTTAGTTTTTTATTCGCAACTCAATGATTGGTCTACAAACTGGTGACACCCTCCCAACCCATTCGACGCCAAATTAAGATCAGTCGCGTTCTAACTGCGTTTACGTGAAACGTAAACGGCTAGAGTTACCACGTGACCTTATTTTCCCGCCATTTTTTGGCATTTGCCGGTTGCGCTTTGCCGTTTCTACGTGAAGGCAGCTTGTTTGACGTGTACCATGTACGTAAGATTTTCTTCACTTTTCATCTCACAGAGTAGAAGTTAATTACCGGTAAAAGGGAACCAAAGCTATTCCTTTAAAGTCGTACAAGGGTACCTTCAAATCCATCATGACATGAGTTCACACGAAGCTTAAGCAGCAAGGTTTGCGCTATTTTACGTGAGAAGTGAAAGGGCAAGCTGGCGTTTGCTGTTTCACGTAGACGCGGCTAAATCTCTCTAATTTATTGCCCTTGGCGCGCTTAAGGCTGTTCGTTCGATTGTACCTTGATATCTTCCATGGATCCTTGTAATATTTCCGTGCTGTAATTAGCGTTTGAGGATAACTGTTTGGTTTTACGAAACTCGATCGAAAAGTGCTCCCGCGTAGTTGGTAACGACAAATCAACCGCACACAAACATATCAAAAAGCTGACTTTTCTGGCGTAAGCTCCTCGCAGGAGTAAAAGGGAAGATTAGGTGAAGAGTTTATGTGGTCACATTCGAGAGCACTAAGAAGGGGCCGGGGTCAACAATAAGGAAGATAAACACGTAAAGCGGACGTCAATTGGACTGTACAGAAAATCAGTAAGTCCAGCGGCCTTAAATATTGTATCTTAAAAGGGCTTCTGGGAAATGAGGAAGGATCTACTCGGAATAGCTCTTCATTCTTACATTGATCTTTTCCATGGGTCTTCCAAGCATCTCTTTTACGTACAACTTCAGGGTGTCGTTATATTTCCTCTTGGCCTCTCTCTTTTCGCTCTCAAGGCAAACTATCTTAAGACGCGTCAGAACCCCTGTAGTAATAGCGGTGGTCAGCGGTGCTTATCGATAGAATTGACATTATCCTAGCGTTTATTAATTAGCTAACAAAAGGGTGGAGGGTCAAATATTGCGTCAATAAGACTCTATTACCTGTCTTTTCATTATAACTAAGCAGGGATTTTAATAAATATGTGTAATACGACTACACACTGTCCAATTTGTAAAACATTAGATGAAAAAATTCCCCTAACAGCCAATCACTTAGATCACTTGGTATTCTTATTTCACCAAACAAAGCTCAAGCCACGAGTGATCTGCTTTCACGGCAATTTAGTGTTGTATGACTTTAAGTTATACTCTTGCTTACAGTTTTGGTTCATTTCGCTAACAAGTGCTGTTGAGTCACAAAAATAGTCACACTAATTTGGAACCCATACAATTACCACAAAAAAATATAAAATACTTACTGAACAAACGATGATAGTTCTCTGAAGGAAAAAAAATTACAAAGAAATCAGTCGTAACATTAATATGTAGTTTAGTTTTATCAATTGAGTTGATAACGCAAATTGGCCGACGTAAAGAGTTGCTAACTTGACATTTCGAGCGTGAACCCTACGTCATTCGGTCGAGACGTCTGCTTTAGAACTCATGACGGTGGCCAATTCACATTATCAACCCAGTTGATAAAACCAAACTATCTTGTTATACTCCCCCACCGACGCAGCACCACAGTTTCTTTCGAAAGTAACCCACTTGTATCATTTGTCTCGTGACATAATAGTTACAAAAATTCCGTGACAGGGTACAAAGAGCTATGGGGCTGTTCATGCATGGACCAAAAATTATGAAACGCTATAAAACAAGCACCGTTGAAACACAAATAAACTGATGGTTTGGCTTGTAAGGGAGCTGAATTGCTCAGTTCATTCAACCACAGTGTTATGTGGAAAGTATCCAGTTATTAGGAACAGATGGTGCCAAGTGTAGGTAAAGGGGATAAAATTAGTAAATTTCTACAGATGAATACCTACGAAATTCTGAAAAAGTGCACAACAAGGGAGAAGCTCGCGTCTTTTTTCACCGGTGCCGCTCCCAATCACTCGCGCATAAATATCTCAGCGCCCATTATCGCAAGCCAAAACACTCATGAACCATCGAACCTTAGCCTCCCTTCCCCTCCCCTCACTCTCCGTCCCTACCCTCCCGTTCCCACATTTTCCTCCTTTAGGCTTACCCATCATGACCACCGCTCGAGGTGTCTTCTGATGTTCCTCAGCCATGCGCTCCACGTTAGCGCACACAACTCGAATAAGGCTGTGATAAGCTTTGTCAAGGTCATTGCGGCGTTTAGAGTTCTTGAACACGCTCTCTGAAATGCATGCAAATTCCTTGAAGGAAGTAGAAACAAAACAGAAAAGTCAACCGTTAACCCTTCAGTATGCATATTCTCCATACTGTTCTCTATACATTTCCTAGGGTGCTGACAAGGAGAATTTGTTTAACAATCTAGAGATTCTTTGGTTGGTGATTATTTCCTTTATTCTCGTGACCTTAATGTGTGATTCAGGGGTGATATTGTAAAAACATTAGAGGCTAAGTCACTTTCAGGAATTAACGCGTTGAAACTTACTTCAAACTTAGTCACAAATGGCAAAATTCCACACTTCTTCGTCTTCTGAATCTTCATTTCCTCGATTTGTTTCTTTAGGTTGGCCTGTAAGAGAAAAATGATGAGTATAAAATTGTTATAGAAATGGCAATGCAGTTACCTCACGTCTATCGTTGCACAACAAAAAAAAGTTTCAGATTCTTCACTTACTATAAACTTGTCAAAGAGCCTCTTCACAGAGATAAGGCAGTTTCCAAGCTGCTGGCTGAGGTAGGACACTGGTGAACCAGACAACTGGGCGGTGATCACAAAATGACCGATCTTGACCAACATATACATGGTGTTACTGAAATACAACCAAAATGAACAAAGCTGATAATAGGTACTTATCGATTGAGGGGTGGGGTGGGGTGGGGGGTGTTGTGAGGAGGGAGGTATGCTGAGGAGCTAACTGGGGGAAGGGGAAAATATTTGTCTCGTGGTCATGACGTTCAGACATTACCTAAGTCATGATCGAGACCGCCGCCAGAGTTTCAATCACGTTTCATGGTAACTAAAATCTATATTAAATATTGCCTCTGGACTCTATCTATTGGTTGAAATTGAATATGGACAAAAACCCTTTTTCCTCTGTACACATACAAAGGATCAAGTCTATCCGCAAAGTGGATGTAGCTGTGTAACTCGGTTTCCAAGACGTTGAACAATCCTTGCATGATCCTCCTGAAAAATACGCGAAAGAGTGCATCGTTCAGAAAGATAACAAGCTAATATTTTAGTAGAGCTCTTTCACACGCCTAATCAACCGTTTTTTCTTTTCTCGAACAAGAGCAAAAGAAAGCTACGACCTTGCAAGTCCCACGTGCGCAAAAGCCAATACCATTATTAAATTCACAAAGAGTTCAGCGCGCGCGGTGTTCTGGGAAGATATCTCATCAAACACAAAGGGTACCCCTCTACACCGTTTCAGTGTTTGTGCAATGCCATAGGTGGAAATTTTCGTAGAAGTGTCTTCAGCTGTGGATGTTCACATTGTAGGTCTAATATGTTGTTTTCAGTCTAAGTATCAACATTCGATGAAACTGTGAAAGAGCTCCTAGAAACATCAATATTAACGTGCTTAAAAGTGCAAATGTGGAGGAGGTGCAGTTTACTTTAAAAGTAACTTACCGTGCTCTTACTTTGTGGTGAAAGTTACAAGGATTTATCCATTTACTTTTAACCCCATTTAGAGAAACCTTGCTATAGCCTTAAGCTTACGATTTAAAACACGCAATGTGCTTTTAACGATAAAAAGTTTAGATTCCTAGACTTTAAAATTTACATTATATGCTCAAATTTATGCAAGCAAACCTCAAAAGCGATTTTGCGATTTTACTTTATGCCTATCCAGAGTCCAGCTGTGTTAGTACTCAACATACTTCATATCTTCTCGGTTTTTATTCATCCGCTGTTTTCTTTTTCTGGAGAAGTAACAGTTACATGACAAATTAAACTAGATTTTTCCTAATTCTTTTATTACGAGAAGAAAACAAACACATCAGAAGAAATAAACTGTTTACACTTGTGGCCTTGTGCTCCATCGATAACATCTACTTTAAAGATTATTCAAAGGCAAAAAGAAGTTTTACCCATGCATCACACATGAATACTTGCTGGAGGAATGATACTAAATGATATATGTCTATAAAAACCAAATTTCTTTCTTTTTACTCTTTTTTGTGGGGTGAATGGGGATTATTAAAAATAGACGAGGGACATTGTTTAATGTTGACAAATCATCGCCCATAAACATAATCATTTAAAAAGAGAGAAAGCGAAAATAGAACAGAAGGCTGAGTTATATGAAGATGAGAGAGTGAAGCCGTGAGTGGCTGGAGGGAGCGGCTTGAAATTGAAAAACAAAGATTGAAAAACCAAATTTCCCTAACTTATTTGCCTGCATTCTTGCGTCAGTCTTGAACAATCTCGTGCAATGTTCTATGGTATTTATATAGTTTCACAATACCTAAGGCATGCAAATATGCGGGGTTCCCATATAACCAATGAGACTTTCAACGTAGTATTACGAAACGGTTACCTGACTTCCTCGTTTAGCGGTATTCGCTCCCTTACATCCCTAAGATGAAAAAAGAAACATCGCATTTCTTATCTTTTGCCCTGATTCGAGGATTAAAATATTCAAGGTTTAATATTTTTACATAATTGAGATATCAAATTACAGGTACTGATATTCAAACATTTTTCTTGTCCTACCCTGTTTCAGATCTTCCAGGTATTCAGTTAAATAATCAGCGGCGTTACCTCCCTATCATACCTGTCATACTTACGTAGAATCTATAGATTTAATTGGCGATGCCTTGCTAAACATCGCACCATCAGGAGAGTCGATGTTTAAGACGCTTGGTGACTCTGAAGGCTGAAATATGAAAAAAACAAAAAAAACAGAAAAAACAAAAAAAACAAAAATGACCATGAATTGCTACGATGCGACAGTTTCTATCAGACACCAAGACCACTCAATCTCATACACATCCTGGTGTGAGAGATGCTGGCAGTTTTCCCGAGGAAAATAATTAAAAAAAAGAAACAAAGAGACAAGACTTTCTTTTGTAATTTGACTTCGTTTATTCGGCTTCTCTTTTATACA